TATAACAGCCAGACAAACTAAAGGAAAGGTGATCATGTGGCGTTGATTATGATTTGACATAATCATCATGTAGTGACCTGAATAACTGAGTTAGGTTTTCTTTATTGATTACGTCAACCCTGTGAACAACATAAGATCTGACATTGTCGGTATAATCAGATAAATATTTTTACAACGTATTTTGATCAAAAACTTCAAAAAGAAAAAAAAAAATGTCTATCATTTAGACACAGACATCAAGAATCAGCATGAGGATCACAACAATAGTGACCATCAAAAAAGCATGTTGTAGCCAATCAAAACTCATCCATGGTTCCCATCATGCATTGCGGCATGAATAAATTATGAGCTGAATTGTCTTTGTAATATATTTTATTCTTACTATTTTCTTTTATTTTTGCTGTTTCTATGTGACTGTTTAGTAGCTTTTTTGTGATGTTCAGAATAGATGTTTATATGAATATGCTGTTTGTCACCATTATTGAGATTCATACGCTGATTCTTGATGTCTGTGTGTGCCTAAAAGAAAGATTTTTTGAAGTTTGAGCAGAACAGCTTGTAAGAAATCTTTCCAAAATTGTAAGAAAATACAGGATCTTTTGCTGTGGAATCACAAAGCTGTAAGAATTAATAAAATAAATATGACTCAGGTATTAGACTCTAAATGAGTTCAGTGGTTCAAGTCAATTGATGATTATTTTAAAACATAATCATCACCACCGGTGACTTGTGCTCTTGGCTTGTCTGCCTGTTATAATTCAGTTATAGCAGCCAAACAAAATGTAATGTTAAAAAGTCAAGGGTTAACACTTCAGTGTTAATTTGACATTCTTCAGTGTTAATTGTAACACTTTTGAGTGTGGACTCAAATAAACTCCCGGGAGAGTTAATTTAACACTGGGATTTTTGCTGTGTATTCTCCCAGAAAATATTGGATACACACAAGAAAATAACAAAATGATCTGTTGTCTCTATGTCAACTGAACAAAAAAAAAAAACAATACATTTACTTCAAAATTAAACCGACGTCTCAAAAACTCAGATGATAGGTATGTATATATATGTATCATTACATATTTTAAAATGGGTTTCCTTAGCTTTAGGAGCCACTGGAAAGCTAATATACTGTATTCGTAATTTTTGTACAGTTGACTTATCATAAGCTTGCAAAACATCATTATGATAAGGAAATGTCAGATATAATATAGAATTGAAACAAGAGCGAATAAACTTATTAGGAAGCATTGCTCTGAGGTCATTCCCATTAAATAAGAGGGGTGGGAGTTCACATGCTTGATATATTTTAATAAAGCAAAAAATTATGAGAAATTAACCAAAAGTCAATTCGAGACTTGCTAGAGGCATCAGGTTTAAACCAAGAAATCTGTCTTTGATAGGGTTTTGATTCACGCCAAGGATCTATTAAACTTTGACTGTTACAAAAGTGTAATAATAATTAATTATAATGATGCACATTATACTTAGTCGAGGACCTATCTAACCACTCATCATACACCATATTAAAGTCACCACCCAATATAACAAAATCAGTAGCATACTTTGTTTTCATTTCCTCTAATACCGGTGACATTTCTGAAATCAAACATTTGTTTTGGGATAAATTGTTGTAACCATACACATTTCCCAGGACAATGCAACAATTTTCGACAATTGTAACAATGCACACTAACCAATGTCCGGCTGAGCTAGATCTTGACTCAGCAAGGTTCCCAGGAAAATTGTTAAAAAGAACAGCAACACCTCCTGAGCGAGTTGTGCCATGAGCAAATAAAATTGGTTCACCCCACTGATTAGACCAAAAGGTACGATCACTGCTATGTGAGCCGACATGGAAACAGTCGGCCCAAGACATAAGCAAACTAAGCAGTACATGAAATTACAGCCTTTTTTTTTTTGTGATATATTATGACAATGGTTTTTGTTTTACAAATGTTGTGGGTTTCTATAGTGGGTTTATTTATTTATTTTTTATTTTTTTGGTGATGTCATGGAAGAATGCGTGCCACGTAACTTCCGCCAAAATTAGTTAAACGGTGGCCGTTTCTCAATATGCGTTCTTGTCTGTACTTTCATTCTTGTGGACTTGTGAAACATCATCAGTCGTTGCTGTTCCAATTCAAAGTTCACATCTAGCCAAGTACAGTTCAATTCCCTTTTATTGAGGATGCATCAAGAGGTGACTTGTGCGAACTTGAGGCAGCAGGTATCCCACAATGCATTTCGCACCAACAAGCGAGCGTTAAAGGGTTAGTTCACCCAAAAATTAAAATTCTGTCATTAATTACTCACCCTCACATCGTTCCACACCCCTAAGACCTTCGTTCTTCGTTCTTCGTTCTTCAGAACACAAATTAAAATATTTTGATCAAATCCAATGACTCAATACCACCCAAACTCTCAAGATCCATAAAGGTACTAAAGGCATTGTCAAAACAGTCGACGTGACTACAGTGGTTCTACAATAATTTTATGAAGCGACGATAATACTTTTTGTGTCCTCAAAAACAAAACAAAAATAATGACTTTATTAAACAAACTCTTCTCTTCTGTGTCATTCTCATACGTTGTTTACGTCCAGCGCTTCCGTGTTCTACGCCCGAACGCCAGCTCATTATTGGATGGCTCCTGCATCGGCATCACACACACGGGTGTGCCCTGCCCGCTCAGGTTGCGAGATCACTCTACTAGGAGTGTTGCATCCTCCTGGGCACTAGCTCGTGGCTCCTCGCTGACAGATATTTGTAGAGCTGCAGCCTGGGCGACCCTCAACATGTTTGCTAGATTCTATAGCCTTCTTGTGGAGCCGGTATCCTCCTGTGTTCTCACCTCAAACAGGTAGAGGCACTGAGAGGCCCCGGTTTAGTGTCGGCTTGCTAAAACTGCTCCAGAGTGTCCATACTGTAGGCCTTGTCGAGCTCCTCTGCCCCCTCGGCAGCCAGACGTGGTGGAATGTTCGGCGCCAGGCCCTCACTCGCTGAATCCGTGAGAACCGGTAGAGGGCTGGGTTCCATATGTAGAGGCCTAAGTGGTTCCCATATGTGTAAAGTCCACGGTAAAGCCTCAGAGCCCGTGTTTCCGTGTTTCAATGTTATTGTCGTTTTTAGATATATGCTTCAGACACCGGTCACACTGAAGGTGTTCCCCATAGCGACCCCTAGAGGACGCAGTGTCTCGTTCCCTACTCAGGGAACCATGGTTACATACATAACCTGAGACGTTATTAATGTTCTGCATTTTGAGCTGCGTGCGCTGAAGATGACCAGTAGAGTGACGCATTCGATAGCAGGTTTTTAATCAATTGGATTTAACTCATCATTTATCTCATATAGAATATGCTTCGTTATGTATACAACATAACGTTAATATTACAATCGAATACGATTATCTGCAAAAAGGTCCCGAATGCGCATGAACGTGTCTGCGCAGCTCTGAATGAACTCCTTTTGTGGACACGTTCTTCACACAACAACGTGCAGAAACACGCAACTAAACTAAATAAAATTCACAGTGTTTTATTATAATAGTGCTCTCATTATAATGTTATCTGTATGACAATCCCAGTCATTAGTTATTAATATTCTGCATTGTTGTTTGTCCGGCTCGCGCTGCGCGCTGAACAGATATTTACCATAGTACTACAGTGAAGCGCTTGACTCAACCAAATGCATCTTATACTAGATGCATATAATATGTATATATAATAATATATACACGATATATATATATACTGTATATATAAACGGCTGAAATGTTTTGAAATCACTTGTACCCTACCTGTTCGAAAAAAAAATCCAGTCTTTCACTCTGCCTGTGTCAGATTGAGTCTTGTTAAAGTTTTAAATCCCTGCCGCCAAGATGCTCCTCTTTCGGTTACAGATTATGGAAAGTGAAACTTAAATATTTAGGGGTGGTTGGATTTATTCACGCATGTTAAAATATTTATTTGAAGCTTCTTTCTTTTAAGATTCTTATTTACAGCATTATCTTAATAGGCTGTATATTAACTTATTGGGAGAAAACCGGTAGTTCTGTGTGAAATCAGACATTTGAGCACCCCCATATAGCCAAAATGGCATGATCATAACACCCCGCGAATATTCGACTGTGAGATTGGTAGTCGAATCAGGCTCCTCCTATCGAAGCATCGAATCGTCGACTATTCAAGGTCACCCCTATTTTGAATTAGTTGTACACTAATTGTACTAATTGCACCAATTATACAAACCTTTTTTTTTATCTCATCAGACATCTGAGGATGTTTAGAATAAGAAGAGGCAAAAAACAAATTGGCCTGCATAAATATTAAATTCAGGTTAGAATCGTTTGCTTATTTTCTTCACAGTTTGACCATGCTAATAAATACTTATCCATGTTACCATGATTTTTTTAAGTATCACCAGTCTATTAACACAAAGAAATGTGACTCTTGATCTTTTCAAAGGAACAGTTCATCCAAAATTGAAAATTCTACATAATTTACTTACCATCATGTTAAAATATAAAATATCTTATTTTGTGTTCAGCAAAATAAAGAAAGTGATACAGGTATGGAATGACATGAGAGTGAGTAAATGATGACAGAATTTACACTTTAGGGTGAACTATCCCTTTGAAATATCCTTGTTTTTCATATAAGTCCATTGCATGCAGAATATGAATCTGTGCATTTACATGTAGATCATACATGTAGCAGATGATCAAAAATAAGTTATTTAGATAAATATACAACAAAATATCTTTCAAATGTCAGCACTAAAAACAAAGTCTTTACTTTTTTGTCAACATTTACAAAGTCTTTCATAATTTGCAGTTCTAACTTAAAAAAAATGTCCTTCTCAAAATTATTAAGTATGAAATGTGTCATAAGGAAGAATTCATGTATGTGTGATTAGAACCATTCTTAGGACAAATACATTAGATATATGCACAATAGAGATTTGTTTAATGCTCATGTAAAACTGACAGTGCACCTTGTTTGTTTAGGGATCTTTGAGAAATTTGTTATAATTCACATATTTTAATACTTTTGACAAAAGGCCACTGGCAGAAAACATGGTGTCTAAAGAAAAAACTTCATGAAGACCCAATGACATGGTATGTATAAACTCCATCATAAGATTATTCAGAAGTCCAGGATATCTAAGCATAATGTGCGCAACCAGAAAAAGTGGGTGTTTTTCAGTCAGGCTCACATCTCCTCCTATGCTTTCAGCTCTCTTCAACTTCATTACAGCATCCTGAATGTTCATCTTGAGTAGATCTACAATCATAAACTTAATTTGAAACTGCTTTGTGAGCAAAGTATCGCCTTCTGTTTCTGGCTCACGACTTGATAATTTAATCCGAGTCAGAATCCATGCCAGATATGACCTATATGAAACGATTGCCTTGTTAGCCTTTTCCAGATCAGCCAGTGCTTGAGTGATATGACCAATGTCTTTCTTCATAATAGTGGCCAGTGCACGATTATAGAGAGGAATAATCTCCCCAGATGTGCCATCCTTCAGAGCTTTTGTGTACATCTCAATGCTTTCAGTAAGACGTCCCTTTTCACGGAGATTGTTCCCAGACCTGATGTAATAATATACCATGGAGGATGGGGATTGTTTATTGAAAAGTTTCTGCTTTGCACTCAACAAATCCACCTTCAGCTGTTCCTTCATCATCTCAGTGTTTTTTTCCTCACTGAGGTTCATCAGGAGCCACAAACCCCAGCACTCATGAAAAGAGGACACGATTACATCACGCTGGTCTGAAAAAACATCATCTTCATAAACACCATCCAAAACATCAAGGTAAACAGAAAAAACTCTTCCTTATTCATGATTGCTGGAATGTCTTTTTCAAGAAACCCAGAGAGTCTGATGTTCACCAGAATATTTCTGGCGTCTTTTGCCTTTTCCAGATTGCTTTCCTGTGATGGGAATGAATTTATTGTTAGGAGGTCTATCAGAGCAGAAACCATTGCATCATGAGTCTGAGAGCTGTGATTTTCCAAGTAGTAATTAACAGTTTCCTCAAATAGAATCTCTTTGAGACTGTGTGATTTCTGTATTAAACTATTCAGATGGCTGAGTAAGTCGGTGAGAGATGTGTTTTCACCCATCATTAGTTTAACAGTGTCAGAGAAATGACTGGCGCACATGATGAGTTGAGCAGATCCTGGACTCCCTTGACGAGCCGTTCGTCCAAATGCTTGCTGTTCGACACGGACGTTCAGAGGTAAGAAGGTTTGCACCACAAACAGACCTCCTGCCTCATTTACACTTTCAATGACCTTTAGGTCTGTTCCTCGACCTGCAAGATTAGTTGCAATGATGACGTCCCCCGCTTGGACTATGTTATCTATTATTGTAGAGTTATCCATGTTGTTATTAACATAGAGTTTTAGTCTGTCTTTTGAAATGGTGTCTGCAAGAGTCTTGCGAAAGTTAACTGCACGATTGATGGTTTCACAGATGATAAGAGCTGCTCGTGGACCTCGATAGACCGTGGAGGTCACTTGATGTTTAACAACATTACAGACGGTCCTGATCCACTCATCTTCTTCAGCTATCACCAAACCCTCCAACTCATAAAGTTTTCTTTGTCTAAATGAGGGAATCTTACACATCTCAATGCCATTGTAGAGCTTCCTCAGCATGTCAAGCTCTGTTTGGTCACCCAAAGTTCCTGTGATCCCATAGACATGATTTGCATATTTCTTGAATAAACCTACATTAGACATGAAGTTTGTTATTAGACTCATGTTAGAAAGTTTAGTTTGGTGTTTCATCTCCAGGAACTGCTGAAGTCCTTCCCCCCATTTCATGTTGTTTTGTACAACACCAGTGCATTTGTAGTCAACAGGAGCGACTCCATCTCCATGAAGAACATATTCATTGCCCAGAGTCATTTTGCTGGCTTCCAGAGCATTTTCAATCCAAGTTTGTGCCTTGTCATTAATGAGGTCTTGAAGCTCTGGGATATTAGATTCACTTTGTACCTTTACTGATTCAGACATTTTAATCCTTTTCCCCACTGATGTAACTACTGAGTCCTTCTCAAAGTGCATAACACGACATTTTCCATTTCCCAGAAGAAGAACTGATATTTCTTGTTTCTTATTTGTACCTGCAGGACTGATTTCATTCAGTTTCCCATCAGATTTTTCCTGGTATAATTTGAAGAAATACTCAGTGTAATTCCCCACGAACATGGTTAAAAAAGCCACCATTTGCACAACACTTGCATTATCTAGTTGTTTTAAAACATTTGTTGTGTTTTGCCTTGAAGATTTCATAGGTATAATTCCTGCGTCCACAGCTGTCTGCACAATACTGAGATGATCAATGTTTTTGTTTTCATGCATGATTTCAGACAGAACCTCAGAGAAGAGCTGAATGTGCCCTAAAATCTCTCCAGAGTCTAAACACTTCAGCTGGTTGATGACAAACCAAATTTCAGCCAGTAATCCATTTAATGGTTCCATGAGAGGCATATTACTATTCAGGTAGACCACTTCAAGACCTTTGTCCAGCATTAGCGAGTCCACCTCATCCACTATAACACACTGAAACTCTCTGTTAGGTCTCACATCGTTTCTGTGGAAGCGCTGTCTCAGAAAATCACCTGCAGAACTCTGAGTCGTACCGTAGACCACCTGACATTCATAGCACTTCTTCAGCTCTTTGTGTTTGGTTTTGTTGCTGTTGATGTCAACAGTGATATTTAGTTCCTTGTAAAAGTCAAACCATTCTTTAGCATCTCTTTCAGCAAGTACAGGAGAACTGAACCATTCTTTAGCGTCTCGTTCGGCAAGTACAGAAGAACTGGAGATGATATCAGGGGTGTTTCCCATCATAGCCTGATATGCTGCAAACATTGCCACGATGCACGACTTTCCTTCTCCTGTTCCAACCTGAACCAGCCGACTTGATTTAGAAAGAACCAGAATGCACCAGCTCACCATCTGAGTCAGGCGAGGTGTTATTCTGTTCTTGCTCTTATTTTGCACTGCTTTGCAGATCTTGCATAACTTTTGCTTTATTCCTTCTAGATGTGGTGGTGTTGTATCTTTTACACATTCGGACACAGAGGACACAATATCTTTCACTTGTGCCATATTTTCTTCGTCAGTATTTCCTTGTTTACGAATTTCCTCCACAATCTCATCCAGT